ATTCGTTGACAAACACATTCTGATTATCCAGCTTTTATTCAGTACTGACTAATATTTGCACGAAATTAGCTAGACGCTACCCTAATTTAAACAAAGGACGAGGCTTATGATTCGACAAATATTGTATTTCAAATCAGATCATTCATAAAGCTTCAAACTCTCAACAAAAATCTCTTGGTCGCTTTGTAGAGCCGCTTCCGTCGCGCACAATAGATGCATGCGAACTTAGTGAAATGGGTAAAAATAATCCTCTATCCCAATCCAATACATCACGCTAACTGTCAGTATAGACCGCACGAACCGAAATACACCATTGTGAACGACGGCCAAGGCTTTGTTTGAAAGTTTTGTAAAAACTTGTGCAATTTCGGCAATACACGCACAGACGCGATGCGATGAAAAAAAAAAGAATCCTTAAGCTGTCATAATCCGTCCCTGTCGATTGTATTTTTACACTTGATATCTATTTTATATAGTTCAATTTACATTGGATCGTTGAATAGTAAGTTACAGTTATAAAAATACGAATTAAGACCATATAATAATTAACAAATGGATAAAATAAAAAAAAAAGAACCGTCGAATAAATTAATAACTATGATATACTTATTTTATCGTACATTACATATATCGGTATAGAACAAAGAAATAAACTATTCTGTACCCTATATCTAGATATAGTTGGTTTCTTTTATATTTTACTGTATTATGGCACGATAGCTGTAATTTACTACATAAACTTTACAATTAAGAATCTAACGACCGATTTAGAAAATGAGTAGACATCTTTCGACTTTGTATTTTGTCTAATATTCGGATAAATTTACCTACATAACCGACATACATTAGTCTTCTTTCTTTATTAGTCGGATAAAAAATATCTTTGCAGTTTACAATACATGCTAGTCGATTTAAAATTAGAAATACTCTCTTCTTTTCATCACATCATACAATTAATCAATTCTAAATGTGGAACACTGTTCATATTTTAACAGACCCAAGTTATCAATCGCTCTTTGTGTGGGTCTAACTGGCGTCGGCACTCTTATGCGCTCACATGAAAATATGGGAGCCCTCGTCAAAACAAACATGATTCAAAAAGTATGTTTTCATTTATTTTTATAATACACCCACGTTTAAGACTACCGCGTGTGATCTCGGCCGGTTTCGTGAGACTTTCCTGTAACAGTGCATACAATGGTTTCATTCTGTCTGCGAAGACATAACTATGAAACGTGGTTACCGTCATATGTTACTTCAGCGACAACAAATATGACACATCCTAAAATGTTAGCGAAATATTTACTTTGCACGAAGTCCGCTATATTTTATTTTACGTACCATTAACAAACATTAAAAATATCATTAATATTAACCATTCTCGGTTATATTATGACACATGTTAATAAACTATGTTGATGTAACTGTATGTGAAAAATAAACAGTATAAAACGAGTGCTTAGTACGTTTGCTAAAGCTATCTCTGACTCGCGCCTTAAAAGTTTAAATGTCAACATCGCATTATGCTTTCGAGTGTCACTACAACACTAACGACTTTATTGTTGTCCCAACACATTAGGTGATGCTACGATAAACTTATTTTTAGATATAGTAGGCGATAAAGCGAAAGTTTAAACAAACTTTCTTGAAACTACGTGGGACAAGTGGGGAAAAAATATTGTCTTCTCGCTTAAATTATTTTTACGGAGTTCTTTATTTAAAAAAAGTGTAAAATCAAATACAAAAAATTATGCATTGGTTTGCACACCTTCATTTATTTTTTAAAATACTGCATTTGTATTTACTTTTACATCAAAAATTTAACTTAATATACACTTATATTAATTCGATAATCTATTACTTCTCATATAATATTTATTACCATTTCTGGCTAACCCCTTACGTTGAAAGTGCATTGTTTATAAAGATTTTTTTCAGCCAACCGCCTTGTCAGTTTTCAAGTGGTTATAAATTGTAAACTTAACCTTGGCTACGTTTGTTTTAGTTAACCGTTTGTTACAAACACATGGTGTATCGTGAGAACCCTTTTAATAGTCCAATAGTTAATTTTATAAACCTTGAACCCTACTTGTTTATTTATCAATAATAAACAAATAAGAAACGAAAAAATTTTCAACATATAGACTGAAAAATAGTAATATGTCGTTACAATAGGACTAGAGTCGACGTCCTTTAGTCGTCTTCGATTTCAAAACCAAATTTAAATACGTTCGACAAGAATATTTTAAATAATATTTTAGAGAACATAGTTAAAAAAATAAAACTTTTAACTTTAAAAATAAAATTATGTACATAATTACATAAATTTAATTATGCACATTGTGTGCGTAATTTCAATAACTCGTTCGATTTAACGATTGAGGTCTCATTATCATTATCCATACTAATTACGAATTAATAACGAACACTGGAACGGAAATTTGGAATATTTGCTTGCTGTTTATCTATTTCGACATCGTAAAATTTATTTAGCGTGTTTACTGTTTGACTGTGCAACATTTTGTCCCATAAAATAGTGTATCATATTCGTTATCATTATGACATTTCTTAGTTTATTGGTCGTCTCATAATCCAACTATATTTATAACATGTGTCGACGATATCTTATCTGAGACCTGCAACCACATCTTGTTACAGCATTTTATCAGTATAATAAGAGAGTCGACAACGCTTTTAATTTAATATTATTTCTTTTTATTATTGCTACTATTTATGGTATAAAATGATCTGCAATACTCAGATCAAGATTTTTATCTAATATTACGTATTTTCAACACCAGGGTTTTATTGAAACTTTATTTATTAAAAAAAAAATTAAAATAAGTCTGTTTAAAAATAATATTTTATAAATATCTTTTGGACTTTATCACCAAACTCGAACATTACACAAGGTTAGTTTTTGTTAAAATTAATCAAACAAAGCCATTTTCCGTCTTCATCATCAGATCATCTCAAACGTATCTACCATAATATGTTAGTTTGGGGACAGTTACATAAATATGCTAAATGTCAGGACAATATAAGGTTGATCCTAGATAAGGTTGATAATAGATTACAAATATTGAACGGAAAGACTTAGTAAAGCAAATTACATGAAAACTTGTAGAAAGCAGAATACAAATTATTTATCTATAAATTTTTTTAGAGTTTTCTTACCTATTATAATCATTATGTTCATAGAATGAAACTGTAATCAAAATAATGTTTTTGTTTCACATGAATGTTTATATTATTAAGTAATTTTCTCACTAGTCAAAGCTTATAATGTAAACAAAATCACCCACTTAACAATAGCGGAAGTTCACGTCAAGAGCATTTGAAATAAAATTTCAACTAGTCAAGTGCTGAACTAGGGTCATACATGATCATAGAACCATGCCGAAACAATCATCTTATAGAAAAGGGGTTATTGTATTATCGAATAAATACAATAACTACCTATCACCCGCACTCTTTAAATCTATTAAATATAAGCTAAACAAATTTCACCCTTAACATTATTATAATTCGGTTTAAATTTAAAAACTTGCACATTTTGGGTGGAACGCATATCATTTTACTCGAGTATTTGTTTCCAATCAGTGGTATCACTTTTATTGGATCAATGAACGAACTGTCAATTTTAATTTTCAAGAGCCTGTCACTTTTTATTCTGTGAATATTGGAAATAACGAAACAAGTCGTTGCTATGTTCTTATTTTTTTGCACTCGAAATACTTGTATAAAAATGTGTAAATAATACGTGTATAAGAGAGTCATAACACATATATAAAAGAAAGAAAAGTATTAGTAAAGTAAGTAATCATTGTAGTTAGTAACCTCAAAGGCTGTTAGTTTGAATCATTTAAAAGTATTTGTATCAATTTAAAGTTTCAATTAACCCTCTAGTGATAAAAAATACCGATAACGATTCAAATTAATCCTAATGATAACGGCATATATAACCCATTTTTCATATTCAATTCTGATAAGCTCAGCAGAATGGTGGTCATGTCCAATGTTCAGTACGAATACAATATTGAGTATATTAATTATTTATTTATTTTAAATAAAAAATACTACATTTGCAAGTTACAAAACTATACATTTTTAAATACAAAAAGATGAGCGAATTAATTATAAACGTAAAATTTTGTAACACATTGCTTATTAATTTCATTCATGCATAAATTATGTTTCTTTCACGGGAATGCTACAAATAAACAGTATTTCAGCGTTCCAAATTTGATGACAGCGTTTTAAAATAAGATTTATATTAACGAACTTTTTATAACGAGTAGGTAGATAAAGTTTATTTTAGAACGGAAGATTGGTCAACTTTCCAAATTGCGACAAGCACAACCGTGACAACTAAAGTGTTCAAAATCTCGATTTGACAGATGTTTACGGCGACGTGGGTAATCCAAATAAATATTTCGAAGTTGTTTACAATATTGCGAGAGTCCGGGACCGTCTGAGAACATGTCAATCATAAACATGTAGCGGTTTGTTTGTAATTTCAATAGGAATGTTAACGTAAATAATTTTATGATTATAGTGCAAATGATTAAATTATATTGATCATATGTTTTGTAAATATGAGTTAAAATACAAATAGATATTTTTGAATTTCTTGTCGTGAAATCTTTAATTATGAATAGATGATGATGAAATTAGATAATAATATATCATCTTTGTATATACTGTAAATAAATTGGTAGGCATATTATAATTGTGTTTTTATGTTTTATACATATTTATTTGCTTTTTAAATACATTATTTTTTATTTATATTATTACGATGTATTTGTTTTACTTCTTATTTATAATAATTGGACGGTTGATACAAATATATATGTTACTGTAGCAATAAAGACAAGATTTTTGTATATTTTGTGTATTATTGAGAGAATAATTTAAAATAACAATAACTCGAAATTTAATTGAAATATAGTTAAGAAATAATACATTTATTAACATTTTCCTTCTTTTATTTGTAGATGGAAAAGAAACGAGGACGATATGGGAAACTCCATCGAGATCTTTCCAGAGCTACTAACATCACACTGAAAATGTGGTAGAAAACTACCATAATGGGAACTTTGGAAGTGGTGACGTCATTGTTGAGCATATATTGCTGTTGTTATATTGGTAAGTGGAAGTTATTAAAATAGTTTATCTCAGTTTAAAGAAAATACGGCGAAGGGAATGCAGTTATGGCAGTAGTAATAGCCTGTGTTATTAAAAATGAAAAGTATTCAAAACGATAGATTTTATTATAATAATTTATAAATTTTAAGATTACAAATAAGCATTATTACACCAACTAAATTATGTATAATTATTTACAGTTAAAGGCTACCTACTTAGACAATATTTATTATTATTTTTATTTTTAAAGAAAATGTATGAATCGTATAGACCAAACTTTGCATCAATTGGGGATCAAATTAAACAAGTATCTGAAGACGAGTGTGATACATAGAAATAGACTTTGGGTAGCTCAAATAATTAATATGATAATAATAACGATAAATATATGGAATTATTTATTTCGATACTAAAATATTAAACAAATGGATCAGAAATATACTAAACAAATGCTATAAACTATAAATAATTTGCTTAAGCAATCCGTAGGAAATGCCACAATTTTATGTCAACTGCCGCAACGTCAATCTTGATATTTGGAACGTAAAATTTATGGGATATCATGATATTGTCTTTTATGGTTACAGCGCTGTGGGCAACCATGTGTCGCTGTTTTGCGATATTTTTAGGCATGCTTGTTTAATAACTATTCAGGAATAAAACAAAGGATCTAATAATTTAAATATTACCGTAAATATAATTGTGAATTGTTTAATATACGAAAACTCACTATCGGAAAAAAAAAATAGGTTAGTTCAAGTTATTGTTTATTAATAAATATAGATCTATAGTAATAGACTTTAAAATATGTAAACACTATAATATTTTTCACAATTCCATTGTGTAAGAAGGAGATATTCATATATTTCAATAACATTTATTATAAGGTATTTAGTATATCTGTTAAAAACTTTTATGTGAACATTTAAACTCTATAAATAAATACCACTGAACATACTACTAGACATCTTACAGATATGCTTGATATTTTATTTAATATATATACATAAAAAATATCCAACTACAACTGTATTGTACGGAGATAAACAAACTAATTAATAGTATATAATCGACAGTAAAAAATTCTGTTTTAAAAATTACCAGCCCTAAAAATAATTCTATCGTGTCATAAACTAAAAATTGCTTCGGAAAGCATAATTAGCATCACTTTTAGCTTGCTTGTTTCTTAACGTAATAAAATATAAAAATAAACGGTAAAGTTGAAAGTTCAACCAGTGCTAATAGCTTGGCATTCACCCTCTATTCTATGGGGTAACATTCCCCTACACTATTTGATATTTAGTGCCTTGCGGTACCATCTTAGATTTGTGGCAACACTTAGCGACGCCGAAAATAACCGTGTCATTCGTACAATATCACTCTAATTTGTTATCGGTCGGAAAAAGATGGAGTTCATTTGGAAAATTAATTAAGAAGCAAATAGATTTGATTTCGTAAATAACTATTTATATCAGAGGGAGATTTTGTACAAAAGTCGTTTGCTTAGGTACCTCTGTCCCATTCGTGTTTCAGCCGTAAAGCAGTTGTGTTCGCATGGCTGTGTTTCGGTTTGAAGGGTGGAATATGGCGTTAATTTACACGGTACAGAGAAATAACATCTGAATCCTCAGGAATGGCAACGCATGGGGGCTATCATGGCCGTAACAGTATTCTCTATTAAGTCCATGGTACTGCTCATGTCTATAGGCGACGGTTACCACTTTCCATCAGGTGGACCGTCAGCTTATTTGCCATTCTAAGTTGTAAAAAAAAAACTATTTATATACTAGTATTTACCCGCGACTTGGTCCACATGAGTCGAATATCTACATATTGGACTCATGTGGACCAATATCATGTATGACATGATATCAGATGTAAAGCCCATGTCTTTCTCCGTTCCAAATAATGCATGTCTACCAAATTTCAATAAATAAAAAATAAAATACATAATGGGTCAAACTCATAAAGCCCCAAAATGTAACAAACGAACAAACTCACTTCCACATTTATAGATAAGTAAGGATTATTATATTATTAAAGTTTATTTCCATGCCTCGTAATAATAACAAATTTTTATTCAAGTAAATTTAAAAATAGGCATATTTGATTATTTATGTGTTATAATGCAATATGATGTTGGTGTTCCTATAAATAAATACATAAATAGTAATTATTTTAGAACGGGCAAGAAACACAGCTATTACTTTTCATAATAGAAATAGATATTACTGTCAAAAATCTTTACTCTTACATTAGCTGTTTCCAATGATATTTACAGTATTATAAAAAGTAGCCTGTGTGTTAATCCAGTATATGATCAATTTTAGTGCCAAATTTTCTTTTATACCTATTAGTATATACATTAACTATAAGGTAGTTAATGTAAATCATTTGTAAATAATGTAATCTCATTAAAAATATTAAATCTTTGATAAACCTATTTTTAACCGACTTCAAAAAGAAGGAGGTTTTAAATTCCATTGTATTTTTCTGTTTGTCCCACAAAAAACTTCTTCAATTATGACAAAACCCGTTATTTTTATCTTAAAACTAAACTACTGAACTGATTATGATAAAATTTCTATGGAACCAATATATAAGTACCTATAGCTTTTCAGATAAAAAAATTAAATTAGTTTAGAAGTACTAAAGTCATGGAGGTAATAAACATAAAAAATACAACCGAATTAAAAACCTTCTTGAATTCGGTTGAAAATAATAAAGTCTGAATGAAAGATTTCATAATATTCTGTTTTAAAAAAAAGTAAAAAATATATATTACAACACACAAAAAACTACACAGCATTTAACAACACTCTTGGGAGTAATTCACGGAGGAAAGCGTAACTTATTGACACTACTCATTAGGATAACAAAACACACATGCGTAAATAAGTCTCACAGCTGTCTATTGCATATATTTTACAATCAACCGAACATGGGGCATCCTACAAAAATTCCGCCTCTGGACAACCTCAGCCCCAATGTCGTGTCACCGTCATTCAATAATTTTATACTGTGGTTCGATACAGAAAAAAGAGACCGGGCACCCCAGGCGGTTATCAAAGCGTAAAGAAGTTAAGCTAATGTTAAACGACGCCTATCTTTTGTGCCTAATGCGTGATGGATGCTGCGTAAAATGCAGTATAAAAAGTATAATAAAAATAAACAGAGTCAATCGCTCGGGGCGATTTACAATAGGCACATAGCATAGTGCGTGTCATTGTATTCAAGGAGGAATTGAAAAATGGTTCCTATCTCGGATCTTGGTTTAAACAAAACTGTGACTTTTATGAATATTGACGCATGTGTGACCCCTATAAAGTATAAGGACGTTTATGCGTTCGAATAATAAAACGCGTAATTTTATGTTTTTTTAAAAGTACGAGTATGTTATTTTATACTACTTAACTGTAATAATATATAGTATGTTACCATAATTATGTGACATATTTTTCACCACCTCTGCCCTTCATACACTTTCGGCTTTTACCTAATTGTTAACTGGTAGAGAATACCATATGGCATTAAGCTCGCCACTTGTACAAAGTTTTATTGTACAATAAAAAAGAAATAAGTAAGTAATAATTATTACATATTTATTCGAGCCGAGCAACTAAATTCCGCTTATAGAACAAAATTGAATTGGCTGCCAATTCGAAGGCGTCGAGACTTTCATATAATGTCGTTTTTATATTCCGTTCTATATAACCCTACTTTTCCCTCCTATCTTCGTGAACGTTTTGATTTTCTAGTTCCCCATGACGTGTCCTCCCGTTCGACGAAATCTCTTATCCTCAAACTCCCTTCACACTCATCTACGCGCTATAGTGGATCTTTTACCGTCCATGCTGCTAGATTGTGGAATTCTCTTCCCATATCTATCCGTGAGAGTCAATCCCTAATGAACATATATTTATTTATCTATATGTGTAGGTATATTGTATGTATATGTGTATGTATATGTAGGTTTATGCATAGATGTAGGTATATATTTATGTATATGTGTGTGTGTATTTGTACTATATAATATAATCTAATTAATTTAATTTTGGCTATTTAAAAATTGTACACTGCTGTATCCGCTGACATTGATGCTCCTTTCCACTTTGGGTTTGCTGGAAGAAAACTCTATCAGAGTTAAGCTCGCCTTTGTACTTTTGTTTACCTCTGTCATATTTTTATAACTAATGTGTACAATAAAGTATTAAATAAATAAATAAATAAATAAATTACGCATAAAATATTTGTATCCAAAATTCAATCTAGATCCTTCTTGTCACTAAAATTGGAAGAAAAGATTTAAAAAAAAAGTTAATAAGTATCCAAAGTCGTTAAAAATTTATGTTAGTGTTGCTACCCTGACAACTACTAATACAAACTCTACTACCGAAAATATTATAATGTAATAAATTTATTATTCCTTTTTTAACCGTAAACATATTCTTGGAACAAAATAAAGACGTCGCATCACTTGTACTAATCAGCAATGTTATCGAGAAGGGGCATCGCCAAAAACTTTTTGTATATTCAAATCTTCTCAAAGGATCTCCGATCAGATAGCTTTCAGTTTGCTAACTTTTTTATATTTATTGAGTCGCTTCTGTGCTGCGATGCCTTATTATTAACGACCTAGTATGACGCAAATATATTGTCAAACTATCACAAAGTAAAGAATATATTTATAAATATTTAATACTCAAAATTGTTATTATCATATTTCTATTTAGAAATATTACAAAGTAACCAAATTAAAATTGCATTTATTTCAATAGACTGTATTGGTCAATAACATTCATTCCATACCAGGCATGCAATATTGCTGTATTTTAGTATTTCGCTCTGCATTTAAAGCAGTAAAGTAAATTTTGTCGTTATAGAACTGTAACTCAGTTTAAAGCATCCTGTCTCATTTGAATGAATATATAAATATATAACTATATTATTGCTATAACATCTATAAATTTGAGAAAACAGCGACAATCAGTGTTTTCTTTTTTTTATGCTAACGAATATGTGTCTATAATTTTTGGCTCTTGTCTAGAAAGTGTGGGTCTCTTAATAATCTAGGTACGCGGACTTAGATAGAAAGATTGTCCTTGACTATTTGCAGGGTCAGCTTTACACAGAGTTTTGTTAAAAGATCATGGCATGGCTGTTATTACATCTGTCCACGCGCGCTATTGATTGCAACAACAAACCGAGAGAAAGAAACGTCGCAACTGTCTCCGACACATTTCCGTAAACTTCAACGGATAAATGGCTACAATTTACAACAGCCAAAACATTTTACATCACATGTTAATAAATCATAAACTATAGACTTTACGCCAAGGATACACAGTTCAAAATAGTAATTCCCAAATTTTATCACAGGAGAACGAAATTGGTTTCCATCTTGTGAATGTTCGCTGCTGCCCCCATTTTAGCAGGTATGTCGGACCCTATGAAAGATGACACTGTGTCAACAATTTGTCCCTTCGTGCATTAGACGAACGCCTTACAACACAAACATTGTATCACGAAATTCATATTAACCTAATCCGTGCGTCCGTTGCAAGTAAAACGGCTAATTCTTAGCACATGTGGCAGAAGCGTGTTCTGTTTTTTGCACCTAAAGACATAATATTAAGTGCTATTTCATGAACCGTGACATTTTATTGCCTGTTTGCTTCTTATGCACCGTTTGAACTGCTGTGTTTGAATAATGAAGCGCAAGTCTCTCACGTGAGTGTGAAGTACGAACTTAGAGTACCTACATTGTCATATTTTAACTTCTTAGGTTAACTTATATACTGTAAAGTAAGACAATATATGTAAATATCTATAAAGACCGATCCCGTTGTCAAAAAAATATTTAATTAGCTTAGCGTAAGCACCAAGTATTATTGTTTATTCTTTTATATATATATATATATATATATATATATATTATCATATCAGCCGTTTACTGTCCACTGGTTAATACATAAAACTCTCCCTGTTGGGGGATATTTACCAGTAGTTGTCACGCTTGGCAAGCGGCTTGCCAATTGCATTTAACCTTAGTTAATGTTTTAAGAGGGACGCTGCAGCCTATGTTCAACTATTATGAGTTACGAGAAATGAAGGGGGGAGGGCTATCCATGCCGGGACATGGCTCAGAATGTCGGCACGGCGACGTAATAATATATATAGACCTGTTTATTGCGTGATATTCTTACTCGTGGTCAGAAAAATAGGTTAGGTTTAGTGAAAGCCCCAAAAATGATCTATTTTTTTTCTAAAATGTTTACAGTTATCAATCCATGTTCGTAAAACTTAAGATTTACTTATGAACAAACTTTTACAATAACATATATTTTTAATATCAGAAAGTCCAATTAACTCAAAAAATGTCGCGAACTAGACGAAACGTAATCATTCCAAACGAGTTCAAATTGCAAAGGGGTCCCAAAATTGAACACGTGTTCGAAATTCGGAAAATCATGATTACCTCCTAAGGGAGCCAATCACGGCCATTAGAATTAGATATTCGAAATTTAAACTGTATCCAGTTACATGGGGTGACAGTTATGAACTCTAGAAAATTTTGTGCAACTACGTACGTACCTAATTAGAAGTGGCATTTCAACAGTTTTATTTATATGCAAACGTACGCATATTTGTGATCAAAGACATTCTCGTGACACACTTCGTTTGATCTTCAGTCATATTGCAATACGAATGCAGGTACGCGTCAAACTTTGGAAATAATTTCTAAAATCAAAGAGAGAACGCTACTTAACACAGTCGTAAACCTAAATTCGTGGGCGGAGCGAGTGCACTCCAATGTTCGCGTGGTTAACTGTTCATGGACTTTTCGAACCATCGACTCCAAACAAAAAACATACTCGGAATTGCAACATTTTAAAGAATCGCTCTGCTGCGTAGTCGCACGCCGCACGAACTTAAATGCGAATCCCATGTCTCCATAACTGATTTTTTATTTATTTTTTCTTGGGACGCGTGTCAACATGTGCCTCTAGTATAAATTAGCAGGGGTCTGAACGCACCCCACTAATTTTTTTTAACAAAAATCTTTGAACAATAGAACATAACTACTCGCGCAAGTTCAACAATCACTCCCTATCGACGTTGGCGTGGGTGACTACGACTTTCCCAACAACGCAATAGTTTTGTATTATACTTAATTTGATATTATTTTTTATTTTAATTGCAATTATTTTGATTGTAGAACAAAATTAACTTTTTATAACGAATTTCAAATAGGAGATTCTAAATTCGATTTTAAATCTTTTTCGAATATTCCTATATTTACTATTTATTTTTTTCAATACTAAAGATAATAAATAAATAAAATCATTAATAATTATGGTAATTATACTATAGTAACCTGACACAATGTAAACCCAATATATAAATGTAAAAGTGCATTTGTCTCTTCATAGATGTATTAATTTTATATATGCAAGAAAATATCTTTAACATATTATTTCTAGATGAAATGTAATTATAAGTTTTCTATAATAAATCATCAAATATTAAATTTAGGATTCAGGTTATTATTAATATATACATATACATTCAATTATGTGATTATTTTATACTGACTAAAATACATTCAAATATCATATTATTTCTATTATATAAAATATTAATAACACATTCAATACTATAAAGAAAAATATTACATTCATCTAATAACCAATAATAATCGATCGAGTTCTAACGTATTATACGATAAAGTTAGTTTTATGCGCGATAAAGTAACGTAACGAGATAAACATAAACAATATTTTATGTTCCTTGCAATCTGCTAAATCTTATTTTTATCTCTCGTCTGGCCAGTATTTATATAAAACATATTCTGGTGCTTTATGGTCCCGACAGTCAATTTATTGCTGTCACCCAATCTTTGGAGTATTATGCTTTTCCTTTTTTGAAATTATGATTTTATTTTACTCATCGACTGTGGTGTTTACCTATGTATTCACATAAATGCTCAGTGACATATCTGTAATAGTAAATCATAATATATCATTGCGATATGAATTTATATGGACACTTGTTTTTTTTCTATATGCTAATTTATACTTCGTCTGCATGACCGGGTTATGTTATTTGACCAGGATAAAAAGTAGCTTATATTCTTCTCCATTCCAAATATTATATGATATAATGTGCCAAAATTCATAATGATTGGTTGACGTCTTAAAGATCTTAAAGCGCCAAGAGGTAACATACAAACTCATACTTTCATTAAGTACATTCTATGCTACTTCACACAATAGAGAACTCAAGACATACCTCATGGTATTTCTGGTAATAACGTAACGAATATATAATAACTTACCGTCATATGTCAAAATTTATAATAATAATAAAATTATGATAATATTATTTTAAAAATGACTGTCTTACGTTGTTAATTTTTTTTTATCTTTTGTCTTTCTAATTTTAGTAAAAAGGTAATTTATTAAACTTTTTTATTGTATTATGGTATAATAAATTAGGATTTCGTATTTCAAATATTTTTTATTAGCACTGTGATTGCTGTTAAATAGGTACATATTAGTATTATTTTCTTTTGTTTTTGCTGTACTCGTATATATAGGGCTATCCCTAACTTTTGGCATAATAAACATGAAAAATTAGGTAAAATTACAAAAGCTTTTCTAATGGATATGAAACAAAAATAGGGGTTTGCGCACAAAAATAGAAAGATACCCAATCGAATGGAGATTCAATTATAGATTAGCCCATGTATCGTACCGCATCCACAATATCAGAACACGTGAATAAATAAACACAATTACTTTATACAAAAGAGTAATCCCTATTGATTTCGTTCACAAAAATAACCTTGTCTCTAAAATCGGGTCGCACAGTATTCGATGAAGTTCATTTCCCCGAAAATCGGACACCAAATCGAATTTTTTTGCCGATCGATTTTTACTTCGCAACAATAATAGCAAGGCACAACAATAGGCATACATCAATTCGAGTGTCAAAAACTAACATCTGCGCGTTCGTTGTAAACAGAGTAAAATAGTGCAGGGGTCCAAATGCTACAGCATCCTCTGGGGGACCCCTTCAGCAAGCCTGTGTTTATGGCTCATTATTATTGTGCGCCGCTTTAGAGTAGCTGCAAATGACATACTCCACCTATTATTAAAATAAACCGTTGCCTAGCACGGTCTTTGTTAGGTAAATTTAAAATAAAGCTGGTCGGAAATTGCAGTGGGTGGGTCAGGTCACGTCGCCTTTCATTAGAGCGGACCTAACATGCTAACTGCGACTACTAAACTTTCAAATGTTTACGAGGTAATCAATACGCCTAAATATTATGTGTTTTATCAACAGGTCCAGCACAAGGGGGCCTGAACGATGATTATATGAGCAGTGGCGAGGCTCCTTATATTATAGAACAACCATTGGATGTCACCGTAGCCCGTCACCAGCCAGCCACCCTTAACTGCCGCGCTGGGGGATCGCCAACTCCTACTATAAGATGGTATAAAGGAGGAGTTCTCGTAGTTTCTGATACTCATAGAAGCCTATTGCCCGCCGGTGGCTTGTTCTTTCTAAGGGCCACACATGGCAGAGCTCACTCTGATGCCGGAGTATATTGGTGTGAAGCAACCAATCCTTATGGTACAGCAAGAAGTAGAAATGCAACTTTACACGTAGCAGGTATGTAAAATGTTATTGAGTTTAAAGTTTATCTTAGATTAACAATCAGAACTTTTGAAAATAATAATTTTGATCAACCTACAAAATTTGCAAAAGTTGCATCCTGAAATAATAATAATAAAAAAATATTAAAACAGAAATAATCGTCTCTAGTGAGTTTCCTGCCGATTCTTCTCAGTAGTGGTTTTAAGCTAATGCTATTAAATGATGATGAGACTTCTTACATACAAGTTTTAACTGAAATATGGTACTGGTGCAAGAGTTCATTTCTATTTGTTTCCAGGAGACTGGGACTATATTTTCATGGAACCTCTGTACTAAATTTAATGTATTAGGCTTTATTCTTAATCTTAACTAGTGCATAACTATCTATAGTAAGAAAACTTTTATCCTATTTACTTATGAATGTTAAATCTATGTGGTTACTAATTTAGATGTATGACTTTTTATATAATGATTTGACATTCTGTCATCGATTAATAAGAAGCTTGATTTTAAAAATTACATGTAAATTATCTTTTATCAGTGCTTCGAGAAGAGTTTAGATTAGAGCCAATCACTACACAAACAGCTCAAGGAGAAACTGTTATATTGGAGTGTTCACCACCACGTGGTTCCCCTGAACCAGCCGTCTATTGGAAAAAGAATGGGCAGACTTTACATTTTGATGGTGATTCCAGGTAACTATAAATTAGATATCACTACCGCTTTAAATTATTATAGTCAAAAAGAATACATATTAAACACAAACACGTAAAAAGAAACTTGACACTTAATATATTACTTCTATACAAGACCATAGTAAGCGTTAAAATTCGGTGGAAATTACTTCAACTTCATACATAAAACTACCACTAGTTAGAAGCAAATTTGATAGTGGTGTTAAGAGCTCTCGTGTAGATGAGTGGAAGGTGGAAATTCTATAGTCTTGTGATGTTAGGTGAATAGTCTCGTTTGACATTGGATCCGTATAATGCCGTATGAATTAGATTGTTGTGCGATATCACGAACAATAAACTACATTGGGAACATCTACTACTAAAAACTACGAAAAACTAGCTTCGTGTAACTAACTGGCTTATGTTTACTGACTGGGATAATGGGATCCCTGTCTTTCTCCATCCCATATAACATATTTATACCAAATTTCATAGAGTACAATCACCATGAGGTATTAAAGTGTATTTATTTTTAAAGGTAACAAACAAACTGACTTTCACATTAATAATATTAGTAAGGATTGTATATATGATTAGTTACTTGATAAGAATTATATAATTATTATATTACTTATTCATTATATAACAACTGCTAATTAAATTAATTTACAAAAACAATCACTTTAAGGATACAAAATTTAAAATCCTATATAAAAAAAATATGGTAAAGTTCCGAATGTTCTTGTATAAAATAAAAAATTATATTAAAAAGAAAAAGGAATTGATTTTTCCGTTAAAACTTATATTGGCAATTTATTTCACTTTGTTGTCTATGAATTTTTATGAGCTTCGAGTTACATCTTGAGGGAGCATGTTGCTGTGTATGGTGAAGCATAAAAATAATTAACAGTTACGGGAAGGGTACATCAAAGTTATAAAAGAGAGGGGATTTCATAAGTGCTCCGCAAGCAATCAAGTAAAAATCTGAATAGTTCTGACTCATCGGACCCCTATATTAAATGTTAATTTTGTATTGAATTATTCCGCCCAATCCTTAAATTACTTTGTTACATCATTTACTAACAAAGAAATGATTTTAATTACTTTAACCAATAATATTTGATTTTAAAAAATAGCTTGTAAGCTGCGTTGTAAATATTTTGTTTGAATTTAATTTTAAAATAGTTATAAGTTAGTGAGTGGCTTTGCTGTTAGATTTTTTTAATATAATATTTATAAGTTTTATAAAATGAATTTCAAATTACATAGTTTCACTTTGAAATTAGATATTTTATAATAAAATTATTATAATGTTACTCAGGATGCATTTAGTGGACGGAGGCAGTCTTGTAATACAAGACGCAAGGCAAACCGACGCTGGTAGATATCAATGCATTGCAAGGAATGCAGCTGGCACGAGAGAGTCTGCTATTGCCACGCTCAAAATACACAGTAAGTTCCTCGGTTCACATGAATGCTTTTCATACCCTGAATTTCCATTTCAATTATTTGACGGGGATTTGTCGTATGCCATTCATATTTGAATGTTCTGCTAATTTTCGACGATCATTTCACTCTGAAATCTAAGCCGCTTGTCTCGGACGTATCTTTTGTCTTGTAATTCAAAGAGATATTTCTCATTGCACAGTTAAGCCGTACTTAATCACGGGCCCTGAGGACGTCGTGGCACAGACTGGTGGCAGTGTCACATTTCAATGTCGGGTCGGTGGTGATCCCTTGCCTGACGTACTATGGCGAAGAACTGCTGGAGGCGGAAATATGCCACTTGGTCGTATCAAAGTACTAGATGATAGAAGTCTTCGGCTCGATAACGTTATTTTAGCGGATGAAGGGGAATATACATGTGAAGCTGATAATTCAGTAGGGGCGGTAAGCGCTAGTGGATATTTAACAGTATATGGTGAGTAACACTACAAGTTAAATATTATCTTAATTGTTATTAAATATTGATAACATATTACTTTGTTAATTTTTCTTTTAGATCCGCCGTCAATTATGTTGGAACCAAATAATATAAATGTTGAAAGTGGCTCAGTAGTAAAGCTTACTTGCAAAGCTTCTGGTAGACCTGATCCTACCATGTTTTGGAGTTTGGAAGGAAATAGAACAATAATATTTCCTGGTACTTCTAGAGATAAATACCATGCTTCGTCGGTAGTTGATGGAATTACTATATTAACAATCAATGCTACAAATAAAAATGATAGTGGAAATACGATAGTTTGTTCTGCGGTAAACTTTGCTGGCAGTTCGTTTGCCAGAGGGAAACTTAGTGTGACGTCAGACGATGACCGCCCACCGCCAATCATAACAAATGGTCCCTCTAATCAAACGTTACCTATAAAATCGATGGCGGTTTTCCCCTGCACTGCCGTAGGTACACCTGAACCAATTATAGCTTGGTATTTCGAAGGGGAAGCATTATCACAGAATCACAGGAGAAATGTTTCGAATGATGGAACCTTAATATTAAGAGATTTAGATAAAAGTGACAGTGGTACATATACGTGTGTTGCTTCATCACAACACGGAAAATATGTATGGAGTGGTGTTTTACTTGTAGATAGCCCGATGAATCCAAGTATACATTTTTTTCGAGCTGCCGATGGATCAGCTTTGCCAGGACCACCAACAAAACCTCAACTTTATAACGTCACTGATACAAGTGTCACAATTACTTGGAATCAGAATAATAAAATTGGGTCTTCTTCTATTATAGGATATCAAATAGAAGTATTTCCGAGAGAAACGCTTTCAGGAAACAGTACACCGAGAAATTCTCGCGGGTGGGTAGTAATAGCAAAGAAAGTCCATAAAACCTATTATGTTGCGAAATCTCTTATACCTGGAGTTACTTACATGTTTATAGTAAGAGCTGAAAATTCACATGGACTGTCCGGACCGAGCCCTATATCTGATTCTATAACTATTGGTGAAGATACTAACACTATGTGGGAAACTGGAATGTTTTCCAATAATACAGAGTTTAGAAATAATATTTTAACTGATAATATCGTTGAGTTAATTGAAGCCACACCAATTGATGCTAAAACAATAAAATTGATGTGGGAAATATTGAATTTCTACTATTTGGAAGGATTATTTATATATTTTAGGCCTTTAGATAATATTACGACCGAATATGAAATGAAAACTATTCTGCATTCCAACGATGTTTCCGGATATGAAATAACTTCTTTGAGAAAGTATACAAAATACGAGTTTTTCCTTATACCCTTTTATAAAAGATTTGAGGGGAAACCGTCTAATTCTAGGGTCGCCCAAACATTAGATGACGGTAAATATTATTACAATATATTTATTTAATACAATAATAAATTATTTTAATATTACTTAGAAACATATTTAATACTTTTCTTTATTTGCAGCTCCTGATGGTCCACCGATAAATATCGAAATGTTCATTTTTAATACCACAACAGTCCATTTAAAATGGTCACCACCAGAATTATATTTACAAAATGGTGTAATATCTGGATATAATGTGATAGTAAACTGGCTTGATATTCCGGCCAATAAATCTATGGTAGCTATAAATACTACCGTCCACCAGGCAACGAGTCTTATAATGACTAACTTAACTTCAGGGGTTAGCTACTCAGTTCAAATTGCTGCGGAAACCATTGTTGGATTGGGACCATTTAGTCAAAAAGTATATTTGAATATAGATTCTCGATCAGTAGGATTAGATCCTTTATCAAGGTAAATAAAACTATATACTTATATACCATAGTTATATAAGTATATGATATAATTATAACATTTATAAGTTCCACAGTTATGAAATTTGTATATAAAATTAAAACTTTTTGCTTTAGATATCCTTTAAATGGAGAAGTATCAATAGTTGCTGGAGATTTTATGATGGAAACATGGTTTTACATTTTGATAGGAGCAATTATATTATTTAAGATAATTGTTATCGGTGGCATTATATATGTACGGAAGAACAACATTTTTGCAAAGAAATCAGCACTTCCGAATATTTATGGTAAAGTATAATAACTATTACATTTGGTAAAGCTTTTATTATTAAGAAAATATATAAAAAGAAAAGAAAAATACGTCGTAGTTAAACAATCTAAAAAACTATCTAAAATGCCGTTCTCTATTTATAAAACTGAAATGTATGTTATATCACAAGTATTACGAAATTATTATTTTAAGCAACAATATGAACCAAATTATAATAAATTTGTATGAAAACTAAATATAGTGTTTGGAGCTCCGTTTATATAATAGTTTTGCTTAACAATTTCAAAGTTTAATTTTAGACACGTTTAAGGATAGCACCTCAGAATCGGCACCAGTGAGATACTGTTTCAAAATAAATCGCTTATTAAAATATAAACATATATATTTATGTTTGGCTTATCTCAAACACTTACATTTTTTTCTGTGGAATCAGCATCAGAATTTCAAAATTAAAAACATTCCTCGGGTGTCGTGGGGTGGTATGGGGCGCCGAGCATTTGTTTGATGGAGGCTTTGCCATGCGATGGGCGGGAGGGACGCTAGATTACTTTCGAGTTGAAAGGTAGCACGAGCCCTCTCTAGTGAGCGCAGTGGATCTCTTTCACTTTGCATTCACGTTCAGGGCACAAAGGAATGATACAAATCCGAGAAATAAAGACCCAGTAAATGTAAATGTTTTCTATTTTGTTTTCTCGAGTCGATTCGTTTGTTGACTCACCCAGTTACCTTTAAGCCAATTTCATTCGCTTTGTTTGCACTGTTCCGCATTTACATCTTATAAGCCTTTGGTAAACGAAATAATTTGCATGCGATTTATGAAATTGATACAAATTATTGATGTTAAGTATTAAGTATTTTATATCTAAGCTTATTTATTTTTATTTAAGATTCAAATGGAACCAGTTTGGTAACTCAAATGAACATAAAAGCTGCAGTATCTTTATCGCATCCACTTACAAGCTGTTATAATAAAAATACCGTAACAAAGACAGAATCGTTACTTTGGATGGAAAATCAGCCCGGATTATGTATGTCTACTAATCAAAATAATCAAAGCAAAGAAAAAGTGAATAGTGAATATGATAAAGTCACTCAACAATTACCAGAATATGCAGAAGTGACATCTTCAAGAGCTAATCCAAATGAATGGAATACGAGCAAGACAGCAAATTCTCCGGCTGCCTACGCTTCTGTTACACTTGTTGCTAATACAAGACAGTGCGTCAGTTCATTGGTAAGTACAAATATTTGTATAGTTTTCAAAATCATACATATATTATTTAATTTATTAAAATCTTAACTAGTCGCTCTCTGTACATGGAAGATATATAAGAAAAAATATTATAATGGGACTTTATGAGCGCAATAGAATCCAAAATAATGATTTTTAGAATTCTTGTCTATTTATACGTTTGTGCACGCTAAACTCAGAAACCACTTAACTCATTTAAATGCAGTTTTTACTTATACGTTACAGTTTATTCTACTTAAAATATAGTGTTTGTTTTATTTCAATCGGTTCATAAATAAAAAAGTTCTATCGATCTAAAGAATTACATATAAAAGGCTATAAAAATCTATAGGGTACTTTATATACTGATTCACGCGAGTGAAGCCGCGGGATACTGCTAGTCTTTTAATAATAATCTCAAACCAGTATCATACTATAAAAGTTTATTAATTTACCTTTACTTACACATTTTTCAATATGATCTATAATATTCTACTCTTGCATTACAATCAAATTTGTAATTTGATCATAGTATTTATTCACATAGATTGTCTAGAAAAGAGAAGTTGATTTTTATTGTGTTTAAAATAAGTTTTAGTAAAACCACTGAAATAAGATTTACCTTTACAATTCACTTTTCTTGTCAACTCTCGAGCATTCTCATATAACGGAAAAAATTATTGCAATTTTTTTTATACCACGCAGGTGACAATCAAGCATACAACTCGTATGGTAGCAACTGTAGCCTATGGATGCCTGTAACATTAAAGGTGTCATGTGCATATTGCCGACCCTAAAGAAACCTTAATATACTCTTTTTTAAGAACCCCATAATGTAGTCTTTAGAGAAAACCTCGACAGAGAGCTCATTCCACAGTCTGAGCGTTCACGGGAGAAAACTGGTTTGAAACCGCGCTGTACGTGACTATTTAGGATCAAACTTGTAAGGATGAATTCCCTGTCGATGTCGAGCGATGCAACAATAAAAGGTGTTTGTGGGCATCATTTCAATGACCTTAAAACTCTATTTTAAATGCCATCAAAATCTGCTTTCCTGTCCGAGTTGGTCTGTGTGAACGACACTGAAGAGCTCCTAATATATTTTTCTAAAATATGTACTTACATAATTACATAATATGTAATAATATGTATAATGTAAGAATATGTATGTATTATGAAATATTCCATTTTTTTTGCTAGGTTTAAAAAGTAGTCATAAAATTTTACTTAATAGTTTCTCTTTCATCAGGGTTGGTTCCCACCTGGAGGTAAGAATATTGATTCTTACGATAACCGGTATGCCCCTGATGAGGAATTATATCCAGCTAGCAATGGAGGCTACTACAATCGAAATGTTTATAGTGAGAAATATTTCCAAGGTCATCCTAATATATTAAAATTTTACGATTTGCCATCAATGGACAAAACGCAAAAAGCTCAATTAAGGTATAATCAGAGCTTAGATGAAAGAAAAGGAGATAAAACAAAGACTGACGCTACTCAGTCCTTAATAGGTCGGACGTATGGAATTAATTCCCGAAAAAATTCTGAAACTGAAACGACGTATAGAGCATTTGGAGAAGATGAATCTGATGATGAAAATTATACAGAAGACGGTGGTTATGATGAACTGCAAGCTATGCAGCCTCAGAGACAGAGACCACAACATCAATATGAACGGCCTAATTTTGACAACGATGGTACTCGGACGTTAGCTAGGCTGACGTCGTTTAGACATGGACAAGGGGTCCATGGTAATACTACCCAATCGCCTCTTGCACCATCACACCCCCCACCAGCGCCACATCCCCGAGTTGACTCCGTGACTCGGTAGTATCACGCCTTGCCGGTTTTCGGCGATCTGTGCCAAACGGATGTATAGACCGATATTTTTTTCCTATATTAGTGTAGTGTGTCACTATGAGAGATCGCAGTTCTTCCTCACGTTGTACAGGTTTCGGTGTATACTCGTGTAAAGAACATTTTTATTTGACAATAATAGTGAAGTTCGTTTTGTTTTTTGAGACTTTTCTGGCCTATATAACGTTACTGTGAAAATGGTTACTAATGCGTAAACTAGGCCTAACGCTTATAACTGCGCATATTGTAGGTAGTTAGTATTTTACACATTTTAATATATTCTTTTTATACTTTGGATCTATTCCTAGTCTTTGTATAGTGTATTAATTGTAAATATATTGTATTATATCTATAATTATATTAGTAAACTAACGAATCTCATTGGAAATGGTAATATGTTAATTCAAATAAATGTTTTATAATGTTATTATTGGATTTGATAGAATTCAATTGATATGTCCGTCTGAATATCAATAAACGAATTTGTAACCATAATATCATTAGTTTAAGTATAAGTAAAAATAGAAACTGAAACAAATTAACGCTTGGCAATAATTTGAAATAACTTCGTAGAAATGTACATAAATTTTGTAACATAGACATAAACACAATAGTGGCAAAACTCCGTAGATTTTTTTGGGTTTTCAATTACTTATAAGAATCTAACTTTTATTTATTTTAATTTAATTGTAACTTAATAATATTTTATCATGTTACAAATTAATTTAGTTTTACGTTAATGTGCCATAAAATTATTCTGTAGATGTATTAGTTAGTAACATTGGAGTTGTGAAATTTAATTCATATGATGCTTTTACAAAAACTAATGTTATAATCTACGTAATATAATGTGATATGAGTTGAATATAGCCACTTGTTATAACGTCTAAATAGCACAACTTGTATAATGGCATATCATCTGTATTAGGCATGTAATAGATAAAAAGATGTTAATAACCGCCGGTTACATAAGTATTAATGTTCAATTGAAATATGCTGATTCAAAATTACATTTATTTAATATTATTTCTCTGTATCTATCTCTATAGTTTTTTTTTTTTTATTAAATATAATTGCGTAAATTTAAATTATCAATGCTGTATACATAAAGTATCAAAATATCCATCTTTTATGTAACTAAGATTTACTATCAAAACGTAACATTTTATTTTCTTGATATATTATTACTTAAATATATAAAACTTCTTAGCAAATTAGAAGTAAAACTTTATATCTTAATGCATAGGTAATTCAGTAAAACTATGTAGATGAAAAGAAACTAAACACATTGATAGGTCTCAGTTCTACGTATTGCAATATTAAATTATAGACCGAATCACTTCAGAAACAGTTATGTGTCTCTCATTGTTGTTTTTTCGATTATATGTATGACTTTAATAATGTCATTATTCATCTAGATAACATAAAATATTGCAAAAAAAATTACTGGGTAAATATCTCAGTTATGTATATATATGTGCGATTCCTCCACCGTGCATTAGTAATTCTATAATATTACTGAAGGGTTTTGATCTTTAATAAGTATCTTTTTGTTTAAATGATGCTTCTTCTCTCTTCTCTCTTACTATGGTCTTTTCGTTATATTATAATATTTCGATGAAAAGGTTGTTCCGTATTTCATCGGATCAACGTGTCGTGCAATTAGGCCTATCAATTTCGTTCTGTTGGCAGCATTCAATTCATTCGCTCGTGTACCTTTTCATCTTTTAGCGTGCGTACTCACGTGACTACCAGGCGTCCATTATATGATCAGGAAATAATCAGTGCTTTCAGTCGTGTACAGAGTTGCCAGGTCTGCTCAGAATGCGTTCGGTGAATAATTACAAAAAATTGACGTTTTAATTACCTCTTTTTAATTATAAATATAAGTAAAATGTATTAATTTGAATTAGTCGAATAAATAAGTTACAACAAATGACTTTTATAATAAATAATTGGTGCATTTTAGGGACAACTGGCTGTTCATAACTGAAAATTAATCGTATAATGGGCGTCTTAGTAATGTGATAAACATAGCAATATTTGTTAATGTTTTCTGTTTCGTTATAATAATTAATATTATTACATTATACTACATATTCCACTTAAAGATATAGGTATTTACAAAGTCTATTACGTTTACTATAACTGCAATTAGAACATGTTATAAATATTTAATTGAAATTTTAAATTAATACAGAGAGATGTCGATTATTTTTATTATAAATTTCTTATAAAATATACAGATACGAATGTTAAAATAAAAATAACATATTGATTGAATATTTCTTAATTAATGTCCACATTCTATTGGTCAGTTTTTCAATCGCATAACACTTATGTAATCGTCTTATATTTATTATTTTGTAAATATGTAAAATGAAGTTCATTGCCTTTTTATACTCCAACTTGTGTACTGATCTATGTTTTATTGCTCTTGCTATGACTTTTTTTTTTATTAAATGAAATATTAAATGGATACCTTGCTTTGTTATCGGTACATAGAGAATGTGCCATAAATATAGTAGATACTAGGTATTTGCAAGTGATTGCTTTTAATAAAACCAAAATAATATCTATAGTTCCTATACGCACTTTATTATGCAAATTGTGGATATTTTAAAAGCTATATTATTTGCAATAAAATGGACTGGGAATTATCAGTCTCATTTATATGTTATTAGAGGTAATTTACTGCAATATTTGCAGTGAAGTGCTGAATTTATTATTAATATACATATTTTAGTGCTGATATAGCAAAACTCTTTACCGCGTAGTGAATAAATTTAGCAGTTTATGTTTGCCCACTTGCATGTCTAGTTTTTACAATTAAATATCGTTGATAAACCATAGCAAGGTGTCTTTGATTCAAAAGGAAACGATATTATGTCGTATTTTGTAACTATGAAATATTATTTTTGTGTGCACGCAAGAATCAATGATTGAAAGTATAATTTCTAAATAGCAAACTGAAGTCTGAGGATTTTAATTTTGTATTAGTCCTTGAATATCTATTTTTAATAAAATAATTTGAATTATCTATAATTTTGACTTTCATTACATATATACCCAAAAAGTATATGAATGAATGAAAATTTATTCATATAATTTTCTTAAAAAAAGTATTCGTTTTCTTTAATAAATTTGCCTAAAGCTTAAAATATATAATTAATGCACTTAAAAATTACAATTTAATACTTTTATTATAAATGTTTTATGGACTGTACAATTTAAATTTCTATATAAATACAATCAATTTGTCTTTTAAAAATAATAATCACATTGAGTACCATCGTATATATATAGACACACCCTTTTGGATTACTACAATTTAATTATAAACATTTGCAGAAATGAATAGCCCTAGCAGACAAAAGGATAATATACAGCTGGAGTCAATAATTCGAACAGACCAGTATGTAGCTAGGACAATTGTTAACACCGCGCGCATTCAATTTACGAGGTAACAATTCATAAAGCGAATCTCAGGCCTACACTCACCATAAGTACTTTATTGGCGGGTGTTTAGCATCGGCTTGCGGCCAGCCTGCCGTCTGTAGCCGCCTGATAACCCTGCTTTCAACCCACATCAAGGTACCTACATATGTACATACCAGTTATTAATAACATTACGTTGCGTCTTGTTGCAGGCGCACAATAGTTTTTCAATGAATGAGATTCATTGAATTATTTTACAATTGTGGAAATATAATTATTATAAGTTTTTTTTTTTTGAGAATTTCAAACGAGTTAGCAGTCCACTGTTAATTGACGCTCTTCTAGAAATATAAGCATTATAAAGGAGATAGCCAAGTATACAGTTGAAGACTTATGTTTTAGTAAAGATATAACTTATTATTGTTTTCAGAAATCACATATTTTATATAACTTAGTATGTGGTGTGTAATGAAGTGGTAATCAAATGTCAGTCCAATTGATAAAGTGGTAATTTTCTGTGGATATGAAGATACCAAGAACAGAGCAGAATACACTATGCCAAAGATATTCTTTAAGTGTTGGTACTTCTAAGGATTATAACATTATGCTTTTCATACCTTGTAATTTTATAGCCATGCTGCCAAAAAACTGCTAACCACTGGTACATGACAGCTAAAATCCGAATTGAGATGGAGGAACTTAAATAGTGAAATTTGTACAGTCTATCTTGATGCTATATACGCTATTCCTGTCTCCCTCCGAGGCAAATGGAAACAAAACTCTATGACTAGTAAATAATAGTGGCCATAATAAAAGAGCGTGACCCGAATCTGGCTGAAAAACATTTATTGCCCGGCAGCGTTGTTGCAAAAGTAGGTGGCATAGGAAAACGAACAAAAATCGGTTAAGCTCGTATTCGCGGGAGCGCTAAACTTTTTACCCGAAGTGAACGTATGAAAGCACGCGAAGTTCCTCTATTTCGTTCCTGTTTTGCATATTTTCTACAATAGGCGCGCACACACTACGTTGTGAGTGTGAGGCGCGCTCGTGATCGCCCCGGGTATCGTTTTAATTTTCCGCCAGCCTGAAAATTTACACGATCTGAATGAACCATCTATTTTAATGAGCTTTAAAATTTAACTGATCAACGACCTCGGCAGAGAGCGGGTCATGAGAATGAGTCTCTGTGCGACGATTTTAAAAAGTTTCTCCAATGAGAAGTTGGAAAAAAGCATTTCAACGTTTCATTATACATATGTATATGATATGTATATTATAATGAATATGTAGGTTTAGAATAAAGCGTATAAAAATATATTGTATTTGTGTAATAGATACTCAAAAGGACTAGTTATGATTTTTTACTATTATTATTTTGATAGATATTAATTTAATTGTGGAAATAAAATATCTCCATTCGTGTTATTTCAATTTTCAATCTGTGTGCAACAATTAAAATTAGTAAATTATTTTATGAACAATGAAATGATTATCTATAAAAGAGGATAAATATTTTAATGTAAAAAAAAAAATTAACTTACGTGTAATTAAATAGAAAAAGTTGGACTAATTTTGCAATCAATTCGTGGTCCTTAGTCATGAGCGACTGTGATGCGAGTACAAGCCTAATTGCGTGCCTCGATTCGCTAAACGCAAGCTGTAAGCGCTAGAAGATAAATACTTTGTAACATAAAACAGGATCATAGGCAATATATAAGATATTTTGATGTCCATTGTACTCCTTATCCGTTGCTATTTTTCTGAAAAAATGGTATTATAATACCTTTGTATCCAAAAGGCATCTAAGCAGACGATTTTGCATAAACTCTCCTTTGATATCGAAGTGCGACGACAAAAAGTTTTGACATTAAGTGGAAATGATACGTTACAATAATATAATAGATACAATATTTAGTTATTTTAATTATTAAATCAATTATTTTTTAAATTAATAGCTGCTAATGTGCTTACCGATAACATAGCAACAGGCATGAAAGGCAGAAAGTATGAACAAAGTTGTATAATAAAAATTCCTACTAAATATGTTAAAACTAATTACTACAGAATCCTTCCTAAATTGACTAACAATTTTTTAAACATGTTACAGAATATCTTCGTCAATACTGAACCGATTTTTTTATTTTTTCAATTGTATATTAATATGTTTGGAAAAATGTAAGTATATCGAGTATAATATTTATCACAACGGCAATAGTCGACATGTGTTTCTAATTATTTATTTCAGCCATTAACTGTCTACTGCTGGACATAAGCGTTCCTCATAAGGGGAGTTTTGCCAGTAGTTGCCGCGCTTGGCAGGCGGGTTGGCAACCGCAGTTAGGTTTTTAGAGATGTTTTAAGAGGGACGCTGCTGCCCATCTCTCGTCCTCTCTTAGTTGATTCTTACGACACCCACAGGAAAGGAAGGACTGGCCTATTTTATGCCAGGGTACACACTACAGTTTCTAATTATTAGGGACTATAATTGAGATCATATTTTTTATTTTGCAATCGTTTATCAATTGCTCCAAACATTTTACAAATATGTAGTAATAGTAAGTATGTAAAAATAAAAATATATTTTTTATTAGTACTTTTTTTTTAATGGATGATAATGAAATGATGAACCCGCCTACGCTATCGGTATACGCTGGCGGGGCACCAGTGAAGGATGATAGATGAGTATGAAAACAGGTCAGTTAGACCATCATGACGAATGCAAGAAGTATTAATCACAATAGTTTTCAGGGAGAACCGCGTGGAGGTCGACCTGACAGAGCTTGCTAGCAATGAAGTCATTAGTCCACATTACTAGCAATCCTCTCCCCCTTTTTATTAGTACTACAATTTAAGTTATAAGATTGTCTTTGTATCTCCGCAGACTATAAGGTCGTATCTACAATTTTTCATTTATATAGGTAAAGCAATAGAAAAAATCAAATGCACCGGGTACCTTTATCAAGGGCCCATTTCACTGGCCACTCAAAACCGATGACGGATGTAATCCAATTAGAGGTTAATTGTTAAATTAAGTTGTGTCACCGGCTCGCCGTTCGTCGCGTGGAGGGTTTTATTTTGCTTGAAATATGATTTCGAAGGGAAGGTGCGGTGTTTCACGTCAATTACGGTAATGGAAAACGTTTGTGATTAGGTCGGCGTGGTTCTGAGTGGTTAGGTATTGGTTTCGAGATTAACAAAATGTCTATTTTTAGCTATAGGTCTGTTTATGTATATATATATATATATATTCAAGTCGATAAAGATCGATTGATATAATGGGAGTGTTTCCTCACAAAAGAGGTATTAGTTTTTTTTATAATTATTATAACCATTAGCCATACTGGCCAAGATTGGTATATGATTTTAGTTCTAGTTGTCTTTATTCTTTATCTTGTACTGATATACAGTACAAAGACTGTGATTTTTTTATGAAACGCCAATAGATTACAGACTTGTCCTATATTATCGGTATACGTTGGCTGTCCACTTCATGAAATTAGGGCAATTCTTCTTGTTAGAACATTTTATTCTTTTTATTTTTTATTATGATATTTTTTTATGGATACTTTTGTTAAATTTTCTTTATAACTCAAAACTCACTTTTTTATTTTATTAATTCACATGTAATTATTTTTATTTATAGAATATAAATGTCTTTATTTAAGAATATAGTATTTATACTATATCCTTATTGTTAAAGTTTCGTAAGATACATATTATATTTTAACTAAAACACACGTATGTCAATCCGGTTAGTTTCATAGTTAAAATATTACTACCTTCTTGTTAATTTCTAACAATCAAGTAGCTATACGTGCATTGTTGTATTTCAATTCGAAGGGTAGGATTGAAGCGTGAAAGCTAGTGCAATTATAGATTTAATACGTAGGTACAGTTCTTCTGGTACAAAATATTTTTGCAAAGTGTAAATAATTACTTATATATTACTTTTATATAGCCAATGGCGAGTACATCTTTAACTAGTGTATATATACTGCTATGTTTGTAGGAAGTGGTATATTCAAATGCATTATATGTAATATTGTCAATGTACCAAAAATTTAATAAATAAATAAACGAAAAGATTCATACGTGATACAATATAAATTTTGATTTTAAGCTGCAAAAATTTCGATATTAACATACGTCTAGACAAATTGACTAGCATGCATCACAAAATTTCTGTTTTGGCCATTAAGTTATAGAATTTTAAATGGGGTTATGCTACCTTAGCTGAATCTGGAAAATGAATCTTTACATTAGGATCGTAAGGTTTACAATCGATACTCACAATAAATATTTATTTACATAACATTACATTATAATATGAGGAGTTAACTCACAATATAGAAAACGGCAGCTATAATATACGGTCGCCCTTAAGCCCAAAGTGCCCTTAATACTGTGCTTAAGTGGGCGAGGTTCAGAGATGTTCGGAAGCTTTTCAGGCCCAACACTTCTAAGCCTTTTAATATCGCACCCTCCGTGCTTTGCTCTTATCGGATCTCTTACATAAAGTTACCTTTTTAATAGCATTTGCAGCTAAAACCGCTAACCATGACTTTTATGTGCATTCAGAGGTTTTATGGTGAGCTGTATTTAATGAT